ATTTGAACAAAATGATGTCAAGAACTACCAAGACGGTTTATATAGAATGATGTGAAAAACCCCAAGAAGATTTGAACAAAATGATGTCAAGAACAACCAAGACGGTTTATATAGAATGATGTGAAAAACCCCAAGAAGATTTGAACAAAATGATGTCAAGAACTACTAAGAAGGTTTATAGAGAATGATGTGAAAAACCCCAAGAAGATTTGAACAAAATGATGTCAAGAACAACCAAGACGGTTTATATAGAATGATGTGAAAAACCCCAAGAAGATTTGAACAAAATGATGTCAAGAACTACCAAGAAGGTTTATATAGAATGATGTGAAAAACCCCAAGAAGATTTGAACAAAATGATGTCAAGAACTACCAAGTAGGTCTATATAGAGTGATGTGAAAGGCCACCAAGAAAAATCTCAAGAAAATTTATACAGAATAATGGAACGAAACGTTAAGAAATAATTTTTTGAAGAATGTATGTTTCGTAACACTTTTTGATAAATTAACTACTACCTAAAATGACGTATTCTCTTAGCTTTGTTAAGTTTTATCGTGAGTAGTTAATAGCATAGTGTTTTATTAAGTATAAATAAACCAGCTATCTAACATTGGACATATCACTCCCCCAACTTCGTTTAGTAAAGCGTTTCTAATAATGCTATTATAGATACCTTTGTTATCTCTCAGCTTACTAATCATTGTATTTTATAAAGATGTTTACCATATTACAGTTATCAATACTTCATTAAACATTCATTGATTTTAATTCCATACACGTTGCATGGGATTTTTGTATTCATGTTTTCACTGGTTTATTGATTGAAATTCCTTATGTTAGTTATTTATTTAGTTGTGGAAAGAGCAATCGTTTTAGAGATCTTTAGGTGCACCCCAGTTACCTAAGTACGGTATATCATAAAGTTAGTTCCAAAATATTTAATTGCTGACGATATAAAATCAGATGTTTACATACTTTGTCATATAATGATTTCTTATAGGAAATGTAACATCTTTATTGATTTTTCCCACTTTGTTAATTAACACTTAACTTCTGATTAGACAAATTATTCTTTCTTTATCACGACAATCAGATTTAAATACTTTTACCTACTTATAAGTTTTGGCGTTATTGAGTTCTACTTTTCTTTGCTTTTGGAACGGTGACTTAGTCTTTTCATTATAGCGTTTCTTCGAAGTTCTGTTTTGTGTACTAACATCTTTAAATCACCTTTTATTTGCTAATCCTTTGATAATTATTAATTTTTTAATTCGTTTTCTTGTTTCTTCTGTCGAAGATTGCGTCTTAATGAAGGCATGGTTCCCTACGTCCTTTTATTGAAACGGCCACTCTCACATATTAACTATTTTACATATCAGTTGAAAAGAATTCGGAACATCAAATTAATTAACGCCAACCTCCCAACCAATCTTACAAAGATCGTAACTCTCTTATGAATGTTAATTGGTTTTCGCTTTTAATAAAGTTAATCGTCAGACGATTCTCCACGTTATTTCTCATAGCAATATTTGTGCATTTTAAACTGCAGCGACTCCTATCCCATAAAACGTATCAAGAAATTCCATGGTGTCTCGAATTGTCATCTCAGATTTTATGGCAAACGTTCATTTTAACGTTGGTAAAGAACGTAATGATTGAATAATTAATTCTAAAGGGAATGACGACAACATTTACAGTAAGAAAGCTCTGATTTTAATAATTGTTGTTGTTGTTTGTAATTAAGCACAAAGCTACACAATGGACTATCTGTGCTCTGCCCACCACGAGTATCGAAACCCGTATTCTAGCATTGTAAGTCCACAGACATACCGCTGTGCCACTGGGGGGCTTTAATAATTACAATGTTTCGATCCAGACTATCGAGTCATTATCTTACCTTGAATCGGTAGAAGGCTCAGGTAACTGAGCCGAAAGCTTGCGTTTAACAAAAATTAAGTTTTAGAGTTTCTGTGTGAGACATAAACTCATATCTCAGAGCTTCATAATGAATTTTAAGCCTCTTTTGGCACCCTTTTTAATTGAATGTGAACCGAAGACTGTATTAATGTCTTCGGAGAAGTTTAAAACAATTCTGTTTGCAAGTCCTTTCGAGATTATGACGACACTTACTATCGTACATTTCAGACCAGTGAAGCTGTGTATAACGTAATATAATGTCCTACATTCACATCATACGAATAGAATATGTAGTCGTGAGATAAAGAATATGTCTACATTACTGATGATACTAGCAATCCAAGAACGCCTCACATTTGTACGCCCTTTACATAAAAATGACAAAAACAAAACATAATGGTAGTTGGACACCAAAATCCGGCGAGTTTCCTCCAGCTTTGGAGTGTTTCATTGACAAAAGTGGGACAGGAAATCAATTGCTTGGAATTTCCTGAGTAAAAAAGGAAGTGTCTATATAACAATGTATATATCTGTAAAGAGTATAAACTAATACT